AGCATTGCCTGAGGACCAAAGGGACCTGGGTTGTATTCTAGTCAAGGTGTCACGTACCTCGGTTCCAGGTTCCTCCCCTGCTTGGATCCTGGTTGCAGCTCATGCAGTAGGCAACCAATCCATGTGTTTCTCTCACATGGATATTTCTCTTTGTGTGTCTCTCCCTTTCTCCACTCCCTTTAAAAATCAATGGAAAGCCGAAACCAGTTTGGCTCGGTGGATAGTGCATCAGCCTGCAGACTGAAAGGTCCCAGGTTTGATTCCGGTCAAGGGCATGTACCTTGGTTGTGGGCACATCCCCAGTAGGAGGTGTGCAGGAGGCTGTTGATTGATGTCTCTCTCTCATCAGTGTTTCTAACTCTCTATCCCTCTCCCTTCCTCTCTGTGAAAAAAATCAATAATATATATATATATATTTTTTTTTTAAATCACTGGAAAAGATATACTCTAGTGAGGATTAACAAAACAAAAAAAAGACTAAACAAATATTAAAATTTCATTTAAATAAAAGATCACTTTTGAATAAATTATTAAATTGTTAATACTGAATTTTAGAAGTATTTATTTAGTTAATCTCACTTGATAGACATGCTTTTTGTGTGTGTGTACATACGTATACAGTAATCTTTTTTTTTTTTTTTTGAGACACGGATTTTCAGCTTTGTGCCCTTTTCATAGCACATTTACATTCCAACCTGTGGGTGTTTTTTTTTTACAACTAGGTACATTTCTGTACTACTTCCACCAAATTAATTGATACAATGAGCTGAAGTATATTACTTTCAATATTAGGCTGAGCTAATTTTAACCCACAATAATTTAGGCAGTAAATATAATACACAAAGGCACACACATATAGTATTCTAAAATTAAGTATCAAGGATTTTTTTAGTGTTATGTAATTTTGAAGTGTCTGTTCCATTGATTGCACCCATGATTTGGACAATCAGGACTCCTGCATATCCGAGTAAGTAGTTATGCTGAGGCCCACAGCTCTGTGTCTGCAGAGGGTAGTGGCTGTGGGAATGCACCCAAAACAATAACCCATGACCACCTGCCACTTGCGTTTTTACTTCCTTGTCATTGCTTTTTCTTTTCTGCAGCTGGGACAGTTTTCAACATTTTCCTTATAAAAATGCAACTCGCCGAGACCGGTTTGGCTCAATGGATAGAGCGTCGGCTTGGGGACTGAAAGGTCCTGGGTTCGATTCTGGTCAAGGGCATGTACCTTGGTTGCGGGCATATCCCCAGTAGGGGGTGTGCAAGAGGCGGCTGATCGATGACTCTTTCTCTTCGATGTTTCTAGCTCTCTATCTCTCTCCTTTCCTCTCTGTACAAAATCAATAAAATATATTTAAAAAAATGCAACTCCTCTTTAATGCCTGGATGAAATGTTCTACACTTTATTAAGCCCCTTATTTAGATTTTTCTCATAACTACTCCAGTATCCAAATTTCTATAGCATTTCATATTTCTTTGATGAGCCATGAAATTCTGCCCTGTATTGTATTTTGCATGAATCTTATCCTTTACAAAGGACCATTTTTGTAGCTTTGATAATACCATGCCCAAGACCAATACCAAATGCCTATCAAATGTAGGGTGTCAAAGGAGCGATATCAGCATAAGGGTAGTTTAAATTGTTCCCTTTGTCTGTCTACTCTAAGTTAGGATATCCATAGCACAACAAGGACCCTCTGCCAGGGTATCTGAGGGATCTGTACATCTATCTATCTATCTATCTATCTATCTATCTATCTATCTATCTATCTATATCTGAAGGTGGGTGGATTGGACCTCCTAGAGGTGGCAGAACTAAAGAAGCAAAGGTGGATGTCTGTGATGACCCTGGCCGCTCTGGCAGTGGTGCCCACAATCTAGGCAAATCCCACACTGATGTTGGTACCAAAAGACACCTCTGATAGAGGGGTTGGAGGATGGAATGTATCTGCTCCCAAATAGAGCCATGAGGCAGCTCATGTACCAGAAACAACAAAAAATGTGCTATAGCTCCACCTGCTGGGGGGAAAAAAGGCCTTTTTTGACAATATATCAAACTGTTAAAAATCAAAGTAAGCAAAGCTTTACCTAATAAGAAAGTTGTTTGCTACTTCAAATGCACTGGGCATAGGCACATCTAATTAAATAGCATGAAAAATCATGGCAATATGGTATCACAAAAGTAAAATGACAATTTTCCAGTAACCAAATTCAAAGTCATGGAAGATTGGGATATAACTGAAAAATAATTCAAAATAGCTGTTACAAAGAAATTCAGCGAGCTAAGAGTAACCTCAAAAAGGCCATTCCATGAACGCAAGAATAAAATTAATGAACAGGGGTGCGTTTTACTAAAGAGATCAAAATTCTAAAAAAGAACCAAACAGAAATCCTGGAACAGAAGAATTCAATAAAGGAGTTGAAGAATTCATTAGAAAACATTAGTAATAGTTCTGATTAGATGGAAGAGATAATAAGTGACCTGGAATATAGGAATCTAGAAATGATTTCAGAGGAATAAATAAAACTGGAGTTTTTAAAATGTAAAGAAAACCTTTGAGAACTCTTAGACTCCATTAAGAGAGCCAACATAAGAATGAATAATGGGTATACCAGAAGGAGAAGGGGGAGCAGAGGAATTAATTAAGAAAATGACAGATGAGAAATTCCCAAAACCTGGAGGAAGAACTAGGCATACAAGTCCATGAAGCTGTTAGACCACTTTATTATCATAATGCAAAAAACAAAAAAACAAAAAAGTAAACCTCTCTAAGACATATTATAATGAAGGTATCAAAAGTTAATGATAAAAAATATTAAAGGCATCCAGCTAAAAAAAGAAATGATCCTACAAAAGAATCCCTGTTAGATAATAAGCAGATTTCTTAGAAGAAACTGCAGGAGAGGGCGAAGTGACATATTCAAAGTATTGAAAGGTAAATGTTGCCAGCCAAGAATACTCTGTTCAGCAAAGATATTCTTCAGATGTGGACAAATAGAAGCTTTTTCAGTCAAACAAAAGCTGAGTGAGTTCACCACCACTAGACCTGCCTTACAAGAAATGTTAAAAGTAGTTCTCCTACCTGAAATTAAAAAAAAAAAAAAAAGAAGTACACAAAACTTTGAGCAAGGTGATAAGTAGACAGAACTAGAAAATTGTAACTATTTTAAAATAGGGTGTTAAATATATATATATATATAATTTTTTTGCTGGGTTGTAAGCTTTTGAAAGGCAATGACCTAAAATTTTTCATCTTCTACTTCCCATGTTTGTTGCATGACTAAAGGTTTGCAAAGCATTGTAGAGGAAAAACATTTCTACATTTGAATTGGAGGTCCCATGCCTAACTAGGGCATGCTCTGCTATAGTTATTTTAGACTTGGCTGATGGTAACTCAAAAAAGAACAGGGCTGGAGAATGCTATATCCGAGCCCATTCTATCTTATTTTTCAGCAGGAAATTTATAAGGCTTCATTATAATTAAGGAATTCTATGCAGGATGCCTCTCCATCAGCCCATTACCTATGACCCACTATTATAGATTCTGCTGTTTCATTCTTGATGGGTTTTTCTATTTTAATTTTTTTATTGTTTGAAGTATTGCAAATAATAGTACATATGTCTCCTTTTTTCCTTCCGTTGACTTCCCCATGGCTTCCCCTACCCTCAGTACATGCCCTCACCTGCCTTCCCCATGTCTTGTACCCATTGGTTATGCATATATACATGCGTACAAGTCCTTCGGTTGATCTCTTACAGCCCCACCTAACTTCCACTACCTTCCCACTGTAGTTTGATAGTCTGTTCAATGCTTCTTTGCCTCTGTATCTATTTTCCCCCCATTTCTTTCCTTTAAAAAATATTGCCTCTGCAGACTAGAAATAAACATATAATAACAAAAAATGTTTGAGTCTCAATTTCAATGTCCAACAGTTCTGAGTCCGTTTCAATATCAAACAATTCCTTATGTGTGCTTTTCTATTTTAAAGAGTTTTCTGTTCAAATTCAGAAATGTCCTATGAATGCTAACACATAATAACTAATACCTTTGTTATTTGTGAGCATGTTAACCTGGATCATAAAGAATCAGTTTGTGGAGAAGTTGGAGAGAGGAATTGATGAAAAAGATAAGGGCAAAGGAAAGTGTTGTGCTATTGAAGTAGAAGTATTCCTAAACAAATTTCAATTTTATTCACTATTGCTAAGATACAGACAAGCTATGCATTGTGCCTTGAAAGCTATGGTCCAGGTATAGCTCCCATTCATTTATTGGCCTTCTTTTATCCTTTCTAGTAATTATGTAGTTTATGAACATTATTTCTAAAACTTTATAAGTACAATTACTCCATTTTTCAAATGAGAAAATTGTGATTCAGAAAGGTTAAATTATACAGTCATGATTGCCCATCTAATAAATAGACAAAGATTTGAATACAAACTTACATTCTCCTCACCCTCTATGTTATGCTTGCTGCCTTTTTAAGTAGGTGACTTCTATTAGCCAGCTAGGCATATATTTTCTTGTCAGGCTGGTATGTTTTCATTGCCCTTGCCATGCATTATTTCAGAACCTCAAATTGCTATGGAAAACTCAGTGTTACCCCTTTCTGACTTGGTATTGGCCTTTACAAAGAATAGGGCAGGAACCAAGATGGCTAATCATTCATCTCTCACCAGGAGGAAATTTAGCTAGTGTCTTTGTTTTTGTGCAAAATAAAACTAAAATGAAATTGTGATATGCAAATGAATCCCTCAACTGTTTGTTAATTTCTACTGTTTACTCAAAAGTGGGAAACACCAGGCCTGTAATACATCATCTTTTGTGCGCTTGGCACCTTCCATCACAAATCATATTAATCTGCTCAAACTAACAAGGATTAATTGTCTTGGTAAGGCAAACAGGCATTGTAATGATATATTGCCCAGACAGCCTGGAATCTGGCCACTCATAAATCCCATTTTTGGTTGGTTTATTTCTGTTTGTCTCTTTCTCTGACAGATGTGTGCCCAATCACTGTGAGCATGGTGGGAAGTGCTCACAAACGTGGGACAGCTTCAAATGCACTTGTGATGAGACCGGATACAGTGGGGCCACCTGCCACAACTGTGAGTGCCAATTCATCTCACTTTGAACTTGTACTACATGAGATTCCCAGGTCTTTAGCTGTGCTTTAAAACTCAGCAACCTGAATTAGTCCACAAGCTAAATCACGCGATTCAGAAAAACCCAGATTTGTTGTTGTTTCTCCAGAACAGTATTCTAGTTGTCAAAATATATTTTTCATGCCTAACAACTCAAAAAAAGAGGAACATTTCTAATGATATGTAAACATGTAGTTAAAATTGGAATGCTGATCTTGGATTTGACTCAATGTGCCCAAGCCATGTCAATCTGGGTAAATTGGAAAATTATGGTAGTGTGATGTCTCTGACTGGATCCTCATTTATCAATTCATCAGAGAGGCAGACAGAGTGTAATTTGAACATTTAGTTTCTTGGAAATGGTTGTCTCATGTTCTGTCACAACTATTTGGCTACATTTATTTAGAGTACAAAAAGAAAAGTTAGAAAATGGGATGAAGCCCATTGAAGTGGTATATCTAAAATAAAAACAAAAAGAGAGAATTTATATATATATATATATATATATATATATATATATATATATATATATATATATATATATAAGCCAAAGGACCTGAAGGATGGAACAAGCAGAGAGATCAGAATGACAGGTCGATGTGAAACACACTGCGGTGACCAACGGGCCCAAATGGAGCCCTGATTGATTGGCTCCCTCAACTTCCAATGGCCCCTCCCCTTGGCTGTTCCTGCTCCCAATTGGAGAGGGGGGGCAACCAGGGGCCAGGCCAGCCAGCCAACTGCTTGCAGCCCCTCTCCCCGGCTAACCTAGTCCCTGATCAGCACCCCTATAGCCTGATTGGGGGTGGGACCATCCAGCCAAAGGCCTGTGGCTGCTCCTCCCAATTGGCCCACCAACAATTGGTCCCCATTGGGGCATGTTGACCAGATCCCACCCATGCACGAATTTGTGCACCAGGCCTCTAATTAAAAATAAAATGTAACATGCAAGGGTGACTAGCAAATCACAGAAGGGCCTTGTTTTATATAATAGCTTCACCCTGAAAAGGTAAGTAAACTTAATGTTTTATAATTCAAAGAACATTTTTAAAGGAATATTAACTCTATAATTGTAATATTAACTTTCCAAAAATGCATGCTATTTACAGAGCACTTTGGAAAACAGATTTGCCATAAAACATATAATTGAAAGAAAGTCGTGTGTGTGTGTGTGTGTGTGTGTGTGTGTGTGTGTCAGGAGGCAGGAAGGGAGAAAGATTCAGTCTCCTCAGTCATCATAATATTCTGAAAGACTAAAAATTTCATATTCAAACCCTCTTACACAGACTGCTTTCTCTTCTCTTTTAAAAAGCAAAGACAAGTGAAATATGATCAGGGTGGAGTTCTGGGGACGCTAAAAATACAATATAATTCCCTGTGCCTTTTCTATCATTATTTATAGTCACATTCAGCCAGAAAGTGTGTTCAGAATATATTGGGAGACTTCAACTAAGGAAAACATTTGTAATTTATTTTATTGCACTTATTAATTTGTTTAGAGAGATTTAAAAACAAGAGACAAAAAGAACTAAGAAATTAACAATAATAGGAAGATATACAGAATAATATAAAACAGACCCTTAGTAATTCATGATCTGAAAAATATTGTTATATATAGGTATTGAGAAAGTACAAAAAACAAAACTGATATTGAAATTAGTTACAATAAAAGAGTAATAACTAAAATTTCCAGTCACACCAAATGTTCAATTTCAGAATATAATACTGATTATATAAGTTTGAATTAGATAACTTTAATAAAATTGAAGAATTTCACTCCACCAATTTAATTTATATAGTGTTGTCTTTAAATACCACCTTTAACTCTAAGGAACTTTGTTTCTGAATATGGAAACACTAAAGTAAAATAGAAAAAAAAATTGGTGGTGGTTTTAAGGGTTTCCTATTTTAGTGAACACTTTTGATATTGAATTGAAAAGCAAATTATATTTTCAGCTGCTAAAATAGCAAAGAATAGTATTTTTAATTTTTTTAATTTAAAAGGGTTAAAATATGCTATTGGTTGAATAGTTGATTTTTAAAAAAATAGGAAAATTATAAGTATTAGAAACATCCTACGTGTGCTTAGGTTTGACTCTAGTGCAAGCTGTAAATATAAAAAAGGAAAATTATCTCCATCCTGCTGCTCATTCCTACTCTTCTTTGTTCCATTTTTATATCTAGAACAGTAGAATTGTGCATTTTAACAATTTGACCCTGATCCCTCATTGTCTTTTTTAAATGAGGCCAAAATCTTGAAAATCCAATGTGTGCTAAATAGAACTTCAAAGACCATAATGCATAATTCAATATAGAGTTGACCGTCCATTATTTTGTTGTGAGAAAAATAATATATACCTGGTAGCTTATTGAAGGGTAAGTGCTTTCTATTAAGCTGAAAGACCAGTACTATCTCTGCCTTATTCCCATTGATTAGTTAAAAATTGGGAATGTCTGGACCAGTAAATAACAATGTAAAAATATATGTAATATATGTCATTCAGTTTGGCACAAAATGTCTGGCCCAGTAAATAACAATTATATATATAATATATATAATATATCAATATATATAATAGATATAATATATTATTTAGAGAAAAAAATGAGACATTGTACATTTTTTCTTAGTAGGCGACTACATTCATAGCAAGAGCATTGAAGTGAAAAAACAGCGGCTTCATGCTAGCTGTGAGATGACCATTCTGTGTGCCCTTATAAGTCTTGACTTTTCATGGATGTCTTTTATTCCTCTCTTGACCGAATGTTTCTGGGGTCTTTTACAGTTCTAAAAGCCAGTGAGCTAAGACTTCCAGTCACTTATTCTGTCTTCTGTGGTTTTGAACTGTTTTAATGTTATTAAATATTTCACCTCATTTTCTGCAGAGGACTAAGCATCCCTTTTGAAAAGGAGTTATGTTAGTTTTATAGTACCTGTTAATGAGATAAAGAACAGCTAAGTCAAGTCTAAAGTTCATTATAATTCAATATTCAATAGAATTTCCAACATTATAATTAGGTTACTATTTCAGCATATTTTTCACATGGTCCAAGCTTGGGCAGGATGATATAATTATTTGTCCAGTACCTGTGATCATCCATGCTAGAGGCTGTAGTCCAAGGTGGAACCTAGAAGCCCTTTTATGATAGGTCACACTGCCTGACCTTGAACTTGGCTGTGCCACTTACTTACTTGTAACCTGGAGTTACAAGTAAACTCTTTGAACTTCAGTTATCTCCCGGGTCAAACGGGTATAGTAACAGCACTCTCATAAAGCCAGTGAGATTAAATGGGATGCCTTATAGAAGACACATAGGTAAGTTTAGCATATGTTAGTCTCAACATATGTAAGCCATTTCATTCCTTTCAGAATAATCATCCCTTTGCTCTGAACTTCTCTATCAATAATCGCCCACATTGCACTTTTTGTCATTTAATTTCATGCTGCTAATCATGGTTTGCTCTCATTTCCATGGCAGATTTGGGCTTGAAGTGAATGGTTGGTTCCCATAGTATTTTGGTTTTGTTTTTCCCCAAGAGGAATTAAAGAGTTTTAAAAGTGATCTGAATATGTCCTAAACTTCTCTCCTTTTGTTTATTTGCCTGTTTATACATGGACAATTTATTTCCAAACACAATCCCTATAGGGTTCAGAGGATTGTCATTTACAAACCCCAGTCAAAGTCATCCTTTGGGTGAGGATATCCCACAGGGGAATCGCAGTTGCCCAGAGATGGTCAGCTCACAGGAAAGTTCTCAGTGAATGTCTAAGAACTGACCAGCAGCATATCAGAACATGAAATCATAACAGAAAGGATAGAATGATCATGTTGGAAGTTTATTTGTTTTGTTATGTTGACTTGCCTTTACTACATTCTCCCAAATGTTAAAGAACATGTCTTTCTTTTTTAGTTTATTTTTGTTGATTTCAGAGAGGAAGGAAGAGGGAGAGAATCACTGATTGGCTGCCGTCTGCATGCCCTACATTAAAGATCTAGCCCAACCCAGGCATGTGCCCTGACTGGGGATAGAACCATGAACTCCTGGTTCATAGATTGATGCTCAACCCCTAATCTATGCCAGCCCTTCGAAACATGCTTTATTGTGATAAAAACCATGTTTGCAGCTAGTCTTTTTCCTTCAGTGTGCACAAACACTTTTCAATTGGTCTCGAAGCTTACTTTCCAGTACTTTAAGTGCTCTTTGGAATCTAATTATCTTCTCTTTTTTTTTTTCTCCACATGCATTTCTTACACTTCATATTTATGGCTCTAATTTACATAAATTAAATTTAAAAACACTATGTCTCCTCTCAGGTCTTGGCAGAAATTTCTCTCATGTTGCTGGGATCTAACTTTGACCTTATTCATCCTTACCTATAATATTAATCCCTTATGTGGAATTGCCCTAAAAATCTCCAAGATGTCTTCAATAGTATAAAAACTTTTGGCTATTTTTACAAGTGCAATAGGATATTTGATAGATATAAGCAATGTTTAGGAATAGAACTTTATAAGAATTATTGAATTTCAGGTCTTCATTCTGAGAGAAAATATTTGTCCAGATATGTTTTTATTAAAATAGAGATTCTCACCTTGCCCAGATATAGAGGCATGGCTCTTTCCAGAGGTAGTAAGAGGATATTAACTTAATAGGCCTACACAGATCTCTTTTCATTTTCAAATTATGTGATTTCTGAATTTTGAAGTACTAAAAAGGAGCAGGTACTGGGATTGTCCACAAATACAAAACTAAAGTTTTTACTAGTCAATGTCAGAGGAAAATTGAAACGTGAAAGGAAAATATTCTGCATTCTGGAGCTATTACTCTGGGTCTATAAATTTGCAAACCATAAATTACACAGCATCTTATCAACGCACACAGGAAAAGTGAGTGGATTTCAGTAGCTCACACCATTATACTCATAAGTAATTCCACATGTGTTTCAGGACATAATTTTTTA